CAACGAGGGATCGACCAGTGGTTCTCTACATTCCGGTGTGGAAGCTGCAGGAGTACGGACTTCTCATCTCAGCGACTGGCTCTCTATTGGTTGAGAACGTTGTTCCCTTCGATGAGGTTAAAGGGGCATGGTTGCAATGCGACAATGCGGAACCCGGGCAGCATGAGAAGATCGAATGGATCCGGTTACTCAATGGAGAACCCGACCCTGGAAGCTACCTTGTTCTGGAATCCAAATACGGAAACCCGATCATGATTCCACGCTTTCAAAAGCTTGAGAGCTTGGCGGTTGAGGTTCTAGACGATACCTACTCCGAGGACGACGCCAAAATATCAAAGATGTTGGGTATGATCGAGGAGAGTGGTGTCTACCCAGAGCATAACAACACCGAGTGGCAGGAACTCTTCGAGGAGATCGTGTACCGCCGAGCGATGAAAGACTATGATTCAAGGCCGTGTCCTAACTGTCTTGGCGAAGTCGATGTGCGATTGACGATATGTCCGCACTGCGTGGCGGTTTTGATCGTGAATGGGAAGCTCACACATGTGGTACCCAAGGAGACAAGGGACCGCAATCAACGATCACCTCCGAAAGATGTCCCAGCCAGTTCTTCCGGTGAAACAACCTCTGCTGCAGGTGCAAACATCGATGAAGTCATCAAGAACGCACGCAAGACAGCCGAAGAGGTCATTGATATCGAGGAATCCGAAGGAGAGGAAGAGGAGGAAGTTCCTATCATTTTGAAGGAACGACCGGACGAAGCTGAAGGCGAACCCGAATATCGGGAGGTCCCTCAAGATGGATACGGGAATGAACTTCCGCAGCCTTTCCCCTTCGCAATTGACGAATTGCCGCAAGAAGCTGCGATCCCCATCGACCACAACTTTGCCGTCACACAGCAATTTGATCTGAGGTTGATGAAGTTGATCAAGAGCTTGGCCAACGCAACATTCGACATCAACTGCTTTGAGAGTCGTGAAGATGTACTGCGAATGTTCGACGATGGACAGCGGCATGACACTCCGCACAATAGATGGCCAATAGTACCGAAAGATCCGGATACTGGGTTTCCAAGACGTCTCAAGAGAGACGAGGTCGTAGGCATGAGCAGATGGACCGACGACGTGTTTGCAGCAGAAGCGTGGCAGATCTATGAATTCCACGCCAACGTTGTTCATCCGATAATGATCACTGCAATCCGCTGCGGGCTTAGCCACAAGTACCTCAAAGAGGTCGGCAACACTCAGCGTAGCATGAGTGATCCAAAGGCTCGAAAGTCTGAGACCCAGGATGAGATCATCGAGAAATTGGCATTCATCTCAAATTTCATCAGACGCATGATCAAGAAGACCTTCGGAGCGAGCCGATATAGTTACTACCAGAAACCAGATGACGAAAGTGCCGCTCCATACAAATTCATCGACATTAGTCCCGCCATCAAATCGGAGAGGAAGAATGTCACGAAGGAGATCCTCGTTGCATGCCGCTACTATGGCATAGAGGTATCCGATGTCCAGGAAAGGAAATTGAAGTCCTTCGAGGAGCAGATCCGAAGGGGAAACCCAAGGAACGTTGAGCTCATCAAGGACTACATTGGCTTTGTCGGCGCTGACTACATGCGACAAATCACGAATGGTTGAGCATTGGGGTCATACCGACATGCCACTTCCGGTACTTCAAGTACTGAGGGGTCTTGGGTAATTCATGATGACCGTTTTGGCATCATGGGAGTGAGAGAGGATTGTGTTTCACACCGTTGGTAATCGCATGATACCATAGGTAGGTGCACGTTTTCCGCTTGTAGCTCCATTGCCTGTTTGATCCAACTTTCAAGCGAACGCAAGATCTCTTGCTAATTCAATTCAATAGGACATACTGGTTGACCTCCAATACACTTTTGAGAACGTGATTCGTTCTCCGGTTTTTACATCCACTCATCTCCCTTCCCCGTCGAAGTACGGATGTGGGGGGTGTCAATAGGGATGGGGTCCCAGTATAGTCGCTATACAGGTACATGCCATATACTTTTGGCCCAAGTGCCCAACCAGGTAAAAAGGAGCTTTAGCGCGCGAGCTTCATGTTGACCTAAGAGCTAGAACGGGGCCAGGGCACACCTTTCCATCCGTTCACAATATATATATATATATACATGTTGTTGTTGATGGTGGTAATGATGCCACGGCTGATGATGACGGTCTGTATTTCCATCCTCTGAGTTCGTTTTGGATAAAGGAGGGTGGGATGTGTAAATGCCACTTGTCCCAGATCGCTTCCGTCTTTATTTCTGGCTTTGTAGCCTTGTTGGTTCTGAGAACAGATTCACTTTCACCAAGCAAATGTGGGACACCACGAACACTGAGCTTGCGTGCCTGCGCAGTTCTTGTCTTATTATTCGTTCTCCTGCGAGTTGTTGGATGATGCGTTAGTGTGGGTGGGCAACCTGATCTCACTTAATTCCAGGAACACTGAAAATGGTAAGAAGTGCTTAGGATGGAAAGATGAAAACAATCGAGTCCCTGGAAGACTCGTACGAAGCCCTTCACCTCCTTTTAATCAAACATTGCGCTGGTCCGTTCGATGAGGACACACATTCCAAAACGCTTTAGGTCGCTGGCAGCCAGGCAGCGCCGTAAAGATCGTAAATTAATTAAGTAAAGTCAGTATCCTGTTATTTATAACTCCCGCCAATAGAAACGACTGGACTAAAACATTTTGTACTGAGAGCCCTTGCGTTCAAATTCAATAGCCATGTGAATATCGGAAAACGTAGTTTTCTGGACCCCCTGCTGGGGGGTCAGGATGTGATTTTATAGGGACAACGCGTTGATTGCAGACACTGCTGTGAAACTGTGGCGTTCGTGCAATTCCATCTTTGGATCAAACAATCCCTATTTTCACCTCTACCTCCAACATCCTCCAGTTAGCCCCCAGGATGGAAGGCTTCCCCCTTTTAAAATGGCTCCCTCGAGTCCTATTTTCATGTCTAGCCCTAGCATCTCCTAGCCAGCCCCATGATGGAAGGCTTTCATGAATGATTTCACCCTGCCCAGAACAGCCTGGAACCTAGCATAGTCGGACCCCTCGAGTTTATAGATGCTTTCCTCCCCAATAAAATGATTAGGTGTGATCCTCCCCTAGCATTCCCAGCTAGTCCAATGGTGGAAGGCTTTCCCATGCGACGCATTGTTGAGGGCGATGTGTTTGCAAAAATATAATTGCCTGGCGTGCTTGGCTGTGATATTTCAAGATGGCGTGGGAAGATGAGGTGGATAGGGAAAGAATTCCTGACAGCTATATAGATCTATTTAATATATGTATGTTTTTGGTGGCCTACAAGGTGATACAGGATGTATTTCTGAGTTCAGTTCAGAGGTCAGGTCTTGTGATGTTATTATAGTTATAATCTATAGTTATATTACGAAAGCCAGCCGATAGGCTAGGCTTGAGCCTTTAGAGCGAACGAAGTGAGTTAAGGGGGTGTGGGGGGGCAGGGTGCTGAGAGGGACATTTTGAGACGGTGAACCCGGAGCTTGGTGGGGGAGAGCGCTCCAAAGCGAGGGTCAGAAAAGCAGTAAAAATGGGGTCTGAGTGATGCAATGGGCGCCGAGTAGTGCATCATTAGCATCCTGAAGGGCTTTGGAGGCTATTTGGACAATGGGCACTGAGCACTCGAGTGGAGACGGGCACGCATGTACAGATGTACAGAGCAGACCGCAGGCGCGCGTAGGAGACGCATTCCCAGGACAACCCCCCTAGTCTCTACTATACTTGCACCGTTTCCTCGGTCGAGCGGATGCTTCTCGCGGCGTCCACGTGCACCGAACGTTTTTCCGGCCTGCCGGTGCAGATAGAAAGATAGATTTATATATATATATAGATAGATAGAGACATAGAGAGAGAGAGAGAGAAAAGAAGACAAATAAATTTCAATTCGATATACTACTGACTCATGACGTCGCCTCTTTGCTGGCAGCCCCCGCCGAATCCAGTCAGCCTGGGTCCACGGCCCGAAGATCTATACACGCAGGTGCCAAAGTCAAGGCCTCTGAGTGAGAAAGGCGCAGAGTTGATAAGAAAGAGAAGAATAAAGAATGTGCATCGTTTAATAAAGGCCCCTTTAACGGGAAAAAGATTGCGGCTTGGATCGAGCCAGAACATGACTCACTCAAGTCCAGGCATGTGCATCGATAGGCGCACAAATCCTCACTCCTTTGCTAGCCCAAGCTACTCCCGCTGGACCTCCCCTTCTGCGCCGCGGGATCAAGTGTCCGTGTCCCGGCTAAGACGTGCCCGTTCACTCTTCCAAATCAAAAAGTGCCGCTTTTCGACGCGCCGCAGTGTGCATTGCAAACTTCAAGCACTCCAAATGTAACAAACACATAGATGCTTCTTTTGCAGTATATTCTTTTCAATCGCATGCCGTAAATCGCGGCGACGCTGACTGTGGAGAAGGTCTTCCTGCGGCGCGCGCGCGCGCGCGCGCACGTGGTATCCCACCACTCGAACTCAGACGGTATTCCCCCTTCGCTAACGCTGATGTCGCTTTCCAACGTCCATAAGATGCATACCTTCCTTCATGTGACACACATGCCATTGCCTTGTGATGATGACCTAAACCTACATACAACGTCTCGCATTTCTCTTCCACTACTTCTCTCATACCAAACTTATCCCAAAGCCCCCGCATCCGCGGCACCGCTGACTCGCAAGCTGCCAACCATGTGTCTTGTGCCGCGACCCCCGCCAGAAAAAGAGACGCTCGTTTGGCGGCTGCTGGCTTTTGTCCCCCCTTCTCAGGTAGATGTTAGCATCCATTCTCAGGCCTAGTCTACCGCTTTATATCCTTGAGTCACTTTGTAGCTGTAAAATGGCTGGCTAGACCCCCCGTGCTGTAGCCTCGTAGCTACAAGTCCTGACAAAATCATAAAAAGAAAGAGTGCCAGTAGACAGTATGAGTGTATAAAGTTTTTGTTGAGCTTCAAGTAAATGCTCAATGTCAGGCTGTCAAGCAGGCTCTGCATGTCGAGCCTTGAACGCATGATTGAATCTTGATTGTAGTTGTTGTCACATACATTGCTGCGACGAAGGCAAAGGATGCATTCTTCTTCTCTGGCGACAATGGTGTTGGTTTCACCTACAACTTGACAGAGCCCACTCTCATCCCGTGGTATCGTGAGATGGTAAGATTCCTGGATTCTCTTTGAACATCACCTTTGTGTTTTTACCATCTTCCCACGCCAAGGTGCAGAACCAGAAGTTGCGTGTCCTAATTTACAACGGAGATGCAGACCCGGGCCTGAACAGCCACTCGTCAATATCGTTGAAATTAACTTGGCATCATGCAATTGGTGTTTCATGGTTTCTTCAGGCAAATTGTTGTGAACGTACTGTTTGCTGAGGTTTCTATGCTCAAAATTGGACCACGGCAGTTGGAATACCTGAAGTCCAATCTTGGCGCCCATGGACCCGAGATGGTAAAATGAAAATGGGTGGTTATGTTGCTTGGAAAGCTCTAGTCTCAAGAGGATTGACTTGTGACTTTGTTTGTATGATAAGTCCATTACTGTTTAAGTTTGTATATCAGATTTCAATCACGAGCGTTTTAGATAAGTTTTGGAGCGACGCTTGAGGCTACACGTTACGAACATGATTTCGACTTCTTGACCATTCGTGGTGCAGGGCATATGGTGCCAGAATTTAAGCCTGAAGCAGCATTCGTGATGATGAGCTCCTTTTTATCTGGTCAAGACTATCCTCCATACAATCCGCCAAAAGATAAAGTGAGGCGGGCTAGTGCAGTTTTCAACTAAGACGGATTGTGTTCAGTGTGTTTTGCTTCATGGAACATGTTGCACCACTCTAACCAGCAGTTGCCCACACACCTGGCTGAAGGAGGCAACGCACAGGCTCGCTGAAGATTCCATGGGTAGTATGAGATCAAAGGCCAAAGATGATCAAAGATGTACATAGCATTTCACACATAGCAGCTTTCCTTCCGCTTCCTCTCACAGACAAGAGCTCTGTTGAATCGAAGGCAAGCGTTGAACACAGCAGCTCCTTAGATCTCTGATGATCTCTGTAAACACACCAATCATTAATTGTGCAACATCCGTCCTTGACACTGCAGGACTGCGGGAGTCCTGAGATGTTGATAGATGTTGTCATTGTTCAACCTATTCAAGAGGAAAGTGAAAGTGTGAAGTACTAGGAGTTCAACATTGGACTTTGAGAATTGCCAAGGACCTTAGCCCAAGCCTTGCGGAAGGCTACCGGAAAGTGGTGCAACACGTTGCCAACTCAGATTGTCTCGTGCAAGAGTAGCTACGTCCAAGACTGAAAGCTCAAAAAGCAGGTTCAAAGCCTTCCCAAATAAAAGCAGGTCAAACGACTAAAGTCGTAAGGAAAGAAAGGAAGAAAGGCTTGGAAAGTTTCCGATATCCTGCAAAGCGTTCGCAGAAGCTCCCCTTTGCCTAGTTGTATCAAACCCAGGACACAACTTGGCGAAGCGCTGAACCTTTTAGGCGAGCACGTGAAACGGATGAACCAGTCCTGTAATTAGTGCTGCGGTCAAGGAATAGTGACACGCATTATGAAATTGTGACAAAGCCAATCAAAGAATGTCAAATGAGCTTGACATCCTACTCTCCATTTGGCCGAAGGTTCTCATTCTGCCCCTGTTGTGTTCCAGGCGCATTGTTTGTTGAGGCTATATGTCAGGACATGTCAGTGGATGGCGCACTCAGCAGTTTTGCTGTTTCGTCCCTTCGCAGGGCTTCCTGAAGGTCGTGCACACTCGGCATGTTGTCTTGGCCTTGCCTCTCATTTCCTGCACTTTGCTTTGTTTCGGTAACTGCACTCTTGTGAAGAGTTGTAATTTGTGGGTTGCTGGCTCATGGATTTTGCTCTCGCCAGGAAAGCACTCGAAAATGTTGTCGAGGGCGACTGGGAAGACTGCCTGGCCTTTAGATGCGGAATTTGAACTCCTGACTGGGGAGACTGAAGACTGAAGACAACAGGAACACCTGGTCCATCCGCCTGCCTTTTCAAGCTTGTACTATTTGTAGCAGATTTACAAAAGTTGATAGTTTGTTTCAGGTTTAGTAATTCATTTGAGTTTAGCTGGGCAACGAGGTCTCGACGACATCTGCCAATGGGAAAACCGCAGGGATTCCAAGGGGATTTGCTTCCGGTGATTTGCTGATATTGGCTGATATTGGCGCATTCAGACTCTAATAGCATGGGCCAATGGGAGTGACAACCTCCGCATTTAGCCAATGTTTGGTCCAGATTGGTACAGTACCTGTGATGTGAAGTTCTGCGAGGCCTGGCGCTTGAGGAGGACGAAGGCCGCAAGGAAACTAGCACATATCTATTCTGTCAACACTAGAATTGCAACAGTTTGCAATAGTTGGGTCATTTCAAGTTTTAATTGTTATTGAGTAGAGACATCTCGATAGGGGTCTTGTGAATCAAGTGTGAATTAAAGTGAAGCAAGAAGATGTGGGATTCTGATTGTTGCCACTTTGTCAGGTGGCACGGAGGCGCTGGATTCCATCCCTTTCAGTTGGCAATTCTTCCGTTGGTGCCAGATTGACTCAGGTTTTGTGCAAGCTAAACAATGCAGTGACCTTGCGGGTGCAAGAAAGTTATATAGTTATTTTAGTTTCATGTTGGTTTCAGGAGCAGCCACAGACGCCGACCTCCTCGCCATCAATGAAGACGACACAGAGAATGTCAAACGCGGTGGCCAATGCTCTAGGTGCGCAGCGGTGCGCAAACGATCAACCTGCAGAGGAACGCTTGGTACCTTGAAGAGTGCGGCGGAACGGTTTTTCCAGCGCCATGCCTCGCTCTTTATGGCTTCAAAGCTGAAAATCATCAAAGCTTCAAAGCTTCTTCACAGGCGACATGTTGATATTTTCACATGATTCGGACCAAACGGTTGGGGTCTCCGGCAACTGTCCAAGTAGTCAGGATCCAACACCGTGAGTTGTTGACATTTTTTTGATCTCTACTATACTATATGTGTGTGTTACAGCTACAGCATATCTAGGTATGTGTACTCTTTAGACTCATTGGTGCAGGGTAAGGGGCGACCAAGCTACAAAACCGCTTGAGATAGTGATGGGGCAGAACTCCTTGCGGGCAATGCTCCCTGGCTTTTTCCCTGCTTCTCCTGCTCCCTGAAATTCATCAGACAAGTTGCATTCACATCCAAGACATCCAAGACTAGTCATTCTGATTCAAGCCACGAGAAGTTATCTACAGAATTGAACAGAAGACCTTCCAAGGCACTTGAGGCAAAGACCAGGTGGTGACAGGCGTCGGGGCGTCGGACTCTTCTGCATCTCGGCTGGTCCAAGATGCACAGATCTTGGTGCACGCAGCGCGGAGCAGTGCATGGTGAATGAGAGGAGGACCGTTATATACATGAGAACTCTTCATAGGAGAGCTGCATGTCAGAGCTATGCTTCAGCTGAGCATTTTTGCTCGAGCTTTGTCTGCTCAGGTTGGCTATATGTCTTTTCGGTGGTTCCGTTGGTCCTTTTTGTTCCAACGGCCGCTTGACTGCATCCTCTTGCAACGTATGTCTATCCTATTCAGCTTCCTTCAACTAGAAAAACGAATCAACACGAGCTGAGGCACCAGTATTGCGGGTAAAATCAATTACCCGCCATGCGGAAGGGGAGAGTGAGGCATCAGGCGCATCAGCTGCTGAGCTCAAGAAGCTCGAGGCGTGGAGGACGCTTGAGAGACTCAAACGAGGCATGGGTATTTGTTGTTGGTATTGTTAATTCAGGATGCATGGTAGGTTGAGCTTGGAGCTTGGCCTACCAGCGATGCAAAGTTTGGTTTTTAAAGGGTGAGGCCAACACATGCCAAAAGACCGCAGTATATATTTACAGCACCCCGACTGAGTTCAAGCGTTGTTTGTTTCTTCTTTTTTTGGATCGCTAAAAGTGATCCATGCATTTATAGAGACTTTCTTCATTCTGCTGCACAAGCCTCGGCAAAACCCTAGGGCGGATTCATCCCAAATCCCGCAGCAGGATGGTCTGGCCGGTTATGCGAGCGTCCCAGAATAATGCTTGCTAGCAAAGTTTATGTTGACTGCATAAGGGGTTTGCCGGATTGTAGCGAGACCCACAAATCATGCCCGCAAGCGATATGAGTCTCCTACACCACAGCTCCTTCGCCGACGATCGTTGCAAGCACAAGCATGGAGTTTAAGATTCAATTCACATCCCTTCAAATCTTTATGAAGCATCCAACGACACCGAACTATTCACAACGAGGGGCGACAAGTCTTCGCCACTCTAGTTATTATAGTTTCTTGCATACTCATGCGGAATGCCTGTCCTGTGTTGTCTACCTACTCAAAGGGTATCAAGGAGCTGAGGGCATTCATGCATGGTTTCGTGCCAATAACCTGTTGAATTGACAGTTGGATACAGTTGGTGTCACCAAACCTTATATATATATATATACACTACAATATTGATTATAATATTATTGAGAAATAGGGTCTCTGGCTTCTCGTGCCTACTGGCTGATTCCGCTGAAATAGTGCAGGCATCAGTATCCAACGTTGCTACATGAAACCTTGTAGACAAAGACGCATTTGTTTCTGTGCGCAGACTGGGCCAAATCTATCTCACAACCTTGCTTTTGAAACCCTGTATCACATGGGCTCCTTTGTTTTTCTTTGCAAAAACTGGGCCAACATATCCCAAACAGTACAGGCGTGTTGGAACATGTTTCAAGACCACGCGGAACACGCTCCCCCACCAGCAGCTGAGGTGGTGGACAGATACATATGATGGATGTGAATACACATATATATATATATATAATCACATATACTATATATATATGATTATATATATAGTTATTGATGATATCATATTGTAACGAGTTCAAATCAGTTGAATGGACGTTTTTGCTTTGCCTCAGGCAGAACTGGAGCTAGCTAAAGCACGAGCAGCAGTAGTGGAAGCCAAAGCTGCTTTGGCTGCCGCTAAAGCTTCGCCTGAAAAGATTGCCTCTGGAGCAGAAGCTGCAGCGCCACAAGGTACATTGATACGTGCTGGACTGTTGCAGATATATCGATGCAAACGTGCACAATTTCTCACCATCTAGTTTTTGCTCATGTGTCTCTTGTGACACAATCACTTACTTTGCCTAGGTGCAGAAATTGATGTTGGATCAGCCCTGGAACCTGAAGTGGTTGGTGTCGTTGACTTCAGTTCCTACTCACAAGCTGAACTTCGACCAGCCAAACTCTTCTACGGCCCCGAGGGCTCAGCTATCTTCGAGGTGCTTGATAAGATGGAGGACGTGAAAGAGCTTGGAAGCACTTCCTTGGATACGGTCATCCGTTCTTGGTTTATGTCCCTCTATCAATTCTCGGCTGCAAGCCAAGCTGGAGAACCGCCTCCAGAGATGCCAGAGGACTTTCGGCGCAATGTCAAAGAAGTCGGATTCTTGGCTATTCATTTTTGCACCATTGTAGCTGTAGATGCTGTAGCATGCTCTAGCTTGATGTAGCTTGTACAACTTCAAGTGGACGGGGAATGTATGTTTGGTGATGTTCATTGCGGAACGCCATTTCTGATCCACCATATGTTTTATGTGTTTTTGCATTTGTACCGGATGAGACTGGCATGCATAGCAATGGTGCCACAGGTGGGGCTCTCAAACCTGATGATATTGCAACGTTTCTAATGGATCGAGACAAAGGGGGAGATTGGCGCCCATGTGTCCGGGCTCTGGCCGACACCGAGTTTGCCAAGATCATGCAAGATTCGTTGAGCTGGGATGTGATTTTCACTGATGATGTTGTGAGAACTGCAAACATCACTTTGGTCGAGGGCCGCACACGCATCATAAACTTCTTGGCAGGCCCATTCAAAGAAGCTGGATTTTGGTCCGATG